CAATAACGAATTTCAGAACTTTCAGACTTTAATATTCAATAAGACCTTTTTTTTTTTTTTTGCTGTCTGTCTTCAACTTCAGATATTTGATTGATCAGAACAGATACTACACTTGACCTTAGTCAGAAGTCTGTCTGGATTTGTTCTAGCTGGTTGTGACTTGTTCCTTTTTACTAACCCTGTTTGCGCAGGTAGAAACTGGAGTGTTTACTATATCAGACGTGGCAGATTATCTCTGCCCAGTTTGATTGTACCTTATACCTTGTTTGCAAACTGACGTGGCAGACTGCCACAACCCACCAGCATACTCCTATCTTTACTACAGCGCAGATGTCAGATGTCAGACCAGAGGGAAGTAGATGGAATCGAACAAGGACTCTGACCACTCTGACGCGACCAGACCCTTCGATCCTAATCAACCAGACTGTACACCAGGTGACTAGACCTGACAGCAGCAGCAGCGACCACCAAAGAGGAGAGGTAGAGGTACAATATACACACACATGCAGCCAGGTAAGGGGATGAGGGATTCTTCTCTCTTTTGCATCTGCCATTGATGAAGAGTCCTCGTCGCTCGGCACTCCAAAGCTCCATGCGAGGTAAGTACTCCTCCTTAGCCCCTTCCCCTTCGGCCTACCTCCCTTCCCTATCCCAGTCCACCTCTCTCTTTACACCACCATAGCCAGCATCTTCAAGCCAGCATGTCTTCCTCGCCGGCCTTACTCATGCCAGCGCATCAGCGAGCGCAACGAGTCATGCGTCGATACCAAATTGCAAGGAACCTGACTGTTCACACTTGCTGGAGTGTACCATTTCACATGCACAAATGTCATCACACAAATTGAATAGCTTCACACAAAGCCAAGTCGAGATGAGATGAGAACCACATAGCGCAGCTTATATTATCAAAAATCGCATTATACAAGAGTATCTCGATCTCAAGAGTTCTGGGCCCGCAAAATACAAGTCTCTCCTTCGTTCAATCATACACACAGGGCCAGGCTCAGCCAGCATCTACCCCAGATCACAAGTATGGCGCCAACAGGTAAGTATCCACCATATCCAATGTCATAGCCTGTCTTCTCTCTCTCCCTTCTCTCTCAAGATCCCTGTCCTGGTTCCCTTGTCTCACCATGCATGCACACTCCCTGCCTACGAGAATCTACTCTGAATGCTACTCACTGATATCCCACTACCAATCCTACTGCTACTAACACAAACTGGCGCAGCTATGGCTTCCCTGCAGCCAGCGCCCAGCCCTCCTTCCGTCTGGCGCAGCTCTCTCTCAGCCAGCGCTCCTCCCTTCACTATAGCGCACAAGTGCCTCAGCACTTCCACGCATCAATGCCAATGGGGAATCTGCCCTGTGGGGAGGCTGCCTCGTTCTTTATAGTGCTGGCCTCCCCTTGCGAGGTCTGAATTCAGTCTGTCYTGGGTCCTTTCCCAGTCCMAGCCTCTGTGGAGTGTGTCCCRRACCCTTATCCTCAGGGGTCACTGCTGCTGCGGCCTTCAGGCCTTAATTTYGGACTTCCAGTCTGTATCTAGACTCTCCCTTTGACTTGAATCTTGACTGGGACTTTATCTCTTTGACTTCTTTTGAAAAGGCACACCTACTGTTCGAACAGACACACATACTGCATGACTCCCTTTGAACAATCATGACCTGCACACCCCCTGGATGAACAGATGTGACTCCCACAATTAAACACTGCATCTGTTCGTCCAGGGGCACAACTGTGACCTTCGACATTGTCTTTTACTTTAGTTAAGATGTGACCCTTGACCCAGAGAACATGTCTCTTGATCTGCTTTTCACGAGTTGGGCCTTGGGCGAGTGACCCCACTAAGCTGCTTTCGTCAGCCAGGGTCTGAATCGGGTAAAGGCCCTTTTACTTCCACCGGCATGACGCCAAATAGGCTGCGTTACGGCTCAAAGATTCGTAATCCGCTCTCCTACTTATTCCCCAAACAGCCAGCTGATCTAACGCCTGGCAGGCCTGGCTTCAACACCAAGTATGATCGCTTGCTCAAAGTTGCCATCGTAGCAATGACCAAGCGACAACACGCCATGATCCATCATGCGAATAAGAAACGCACACCTTCGACTATCAAAGTGGGAAGTTTTGTCTGGGTCAAGATGTCTGAATTTTCGGGAGAAGAGGGGGTGTCACCCAAACTTCTCCCCCTCAACTATGGTCCATGGGAAGCTTTGGACGTGATTGGTGATGATGATTTCGGTCCTTCATATGTAATTGCCGTGCCTCCTCATCTGCACACGTACCCGGTCTTTCAAGCATCAAAGTTGTGTATATAAGTATGGTGAAATCGTGCAATCAATGGCGGTCACGAGATCGATAGAATTAAACAACACATAGGGAAGGGACGTAACAGAATATCAGGTTCATTTCATGTACCACACGTTAGATGACCTCTATTGGATCTCTAAGAAGGAACTGCTGCGCAGCGCGCCTCGTGTTGTTAAAGCATATGAACGACAGATAGCCTCTAATGCTGTACCAAAATTTTCTGCGAAACTCACTGCTACTGAGAACCCACAAAATCTCTTTGCTATGTTCGCTTACAATGCGTTTGTCGGGGATTCAGAGTGAGTTACTCACGCGAAGGGACCTCGCTCTTGGGAGGGGGGCAGTGTGATGACCTGCCAAACACGGACTGAGACAGTTGATTTCTGAGTCTTTGCCAATGGAATGTATGCCTTGCTGAGTTTTCCTGCGTGTTGCTGAGTTTTCTAGTCTGAGTGTGTGCCTGCTTGCTGATCTGCATGCCTGTCTAAGTGTTTGTCGGTTTGAGTGTGTGTGTGGCCTGCGAGGGCACGTTCAATGTGGGCGGCCCCAAAGGCCGGTAGTTACCTGTGGCCGTGGCATTGAGGGTTGCAGCGGGGAAAACACTCAAGTGGTATAGAAAGAGGCTCGTGACACTCGAAGCAGTGGAAAAACACTCAAGTAGCAGGTAGGCCGGTACCACACCAAGTAGAGGAAGATGTGCTGGGTACTCGAGGCCGTGCAGAAGAAGACAAAGTTGGCATTTTTAGAGGCCCAGTAGTTGTAGGCCCTTCTGCACCCGAAAAAAACGTACATACGTCCTATTCGAATTACCTCTGGAAATTGGGTTTTCAGAAATCTGAAAAAATAAAATGGTATGAAACAATGCAATACAAACAACGTTTGCCCTAGGGTCTTATTGAAATTCACGAGAAAATTCGAGAAAAAAATAAAAACGAGGATGCAAATGTTTTTTACGGACTTTTTCAGAACTTCGATTAAAAAAAAACTTCAGTAAAAAATCTGAAAAAACAAGTATGTTGTACAAAATTGCAGTGCAAACAACTTTTGCCTGAGGGTCTTGGCGAAATTCCCAACCAAATTTGAGAAAAAAATAAAAACAATGGCGGTACTACAGGCTTCTGAAAAGTTGTACCCTAAAACTCGTCCTATAACGTACGTACGTTGTGTTCCGAATACAATGTACCCCGTACGCTGTATTCGTATACAAGGTACATACATTTTTTTTGGGTTACGAAGGTACCAGTCCAACCAGTCTGAGTCTAGGGCCTGTCCGGGCAATATCAGAGTCTGCAATGATGTTTTCCTCCGAAAGGGAGGAGGTACCGGTTGCTTGGCCGAGGAAGTCACTCGCCAAGAGGCAAGCAGGCCGCTATATCTCCAGGAGGAGCAAAGAGGTCCTCCTCATTTGTTGGTGTGCAAGTTTGGCGACACGCTGCTGGAGCGAACCGGCGGAGCTGCAAGAGCAGCACTAGGGCCAAGGGGAGCGCCCAGCTCTCCACCATAGCTATGGTGGAAGAGCGCCGGTAGGAGGAGGAGGGAGAAGGGGGACTAAGAGAAGGGGGAGCGCCGGAGGCACTTACCGGGTTATGGTGGATGCATCTTCATCACCTTGGTGGACGCTGCATCTGGAAGGCCCCAGTGGGGGTAGAGCCACACCAAGAAGCTTCGAGGCTGAGTCAGGCACGGCGGCCTGAGTATAAGCAGCCATAGCTGGTTTGTGTTGTCTTTTGCACAGGAGGGCAAGGCCCCAGTAGTCCGCCATAGCCCCGGCCCTCAGGAAGAGGAAGGAGAAGGCGGCCATGGCTATGGTGGACCTCATGTGATACCTGCAGTAGAAGAGGGATTCGAACATTGATTCTGGTTCAGCCATTCAACATTCTTATTATTATTTCTTGTTTGAATAAGAGGGGAGGAGATAAGGAGGAGGGGAGTGGTTGGCGAAGAAGAAGGGAGTTATCATTGGTCTATGCTGGTGTACATCATCTTCTTCTTTCTTTCTTTCTTTCTTTCTTTCTTTCTTTCTTCTTCTTCTTCTTCTTCTTTCCCTCTCTCTCCTCTCAAGTTCATTCATTTCGTTTTGCAATTGGATGGCATTGTACTTTGTCATGAATGTGTACTTCGAAATTGGCCAGGATCATAACAAATAAGTGAAAAAAGCTAACCGTGGGATCTCACATCATCCTACTTCAGATGTCTGTTATTCTACTGCCACTCAAATCTTTACACTTGTCTATTCTTTTTGTTGACTTTTCTTTAATTTTGTTCCACCTTTGAAAGTAATGTCTTCTTTCAAACAAAAAAGAGGACGTGTGTATTCTTTCTGTCGACTTTTCTTTAACTTTGTAAAAGAATGTCTTCTTTCAAACAAAATGTAAAGGTAAAATGTCTTTGAATCAGTCAGATCCCATGGCACTCTTGACACTCTTGTGTTGTTGCTGCCACTTGGAACTACCAAGGATTCAAGACTTTTTTCATGTCCCGCGGATCTTGAAGATGACAGTTCCGAACATGACATGAAAATGCTGACTTCAACTGCTGATCCGTATGATGCGAACCCTTTTTTTTGTTTTCTTTGTCAAACGATCCACTAGTGGAATAAATCCTGTGTATCTGGCACGTGTAAGGAAAAGAAGTATCGTGTGCATATGATGTGTTGCATGAATGGTACTGAATCCATGCCTCGTTCACTCTCAGGAGCATGGAGAACGTGATTATTGGGACAGCTGTCACCTCGAGGAGCGTGGCTTTGGGTAGGCTGCCATGTGGCTGCAGCGGTGGGGAGCAATCCGGTAGGAAGGCAGTGCAGTCGGCTCCGTCTTCGTGCACATGCCTGAGACGAATTGGAGTTAAGCCATGGCGTGCCAAACTGATCAGAGTGTCCAACTCTTGTAGGAGATGCCAAGATGGAGCAGGATGTGACACCAGTCCATGGACAGATGTTTTTAACACTTCCAGCACAGATTTGGCCATGTTGACAGGCCATCTTTGTCCTCTGTTGATCAACATGTGGCATGGCGGGCCAGCATCTGGACGGCTGAGTGTTCTGGCTAAGTCATGGTCATTGCGTTGCGCAGACTGCTCAGTTCATCGCCGACTGGTATCTCAGCCAAGTCATGGATCTGACTGGACAATCTTGACGAGCCTAGAGTCATCCCTGGCATCCCCGGCCAGCTTCGGTGCACAGTGGCAACTGGGGGATCGAACGTGCCACTGTTCAGATGGCTGGTGGGTCCACTCCCGATCGTTCCTGCTCGCTCCATTACTGCATCACTCTGGCCGAAGGTTTCGGTGTGTAAGGGGAAAGAAGTGCGACCTGTCTCATGATAGTCAGGCTCCCGATTGGCGCAGAGTACAAGAAGGAGCTGCCACAGCCAATGAAGGCCCAAAGGAATGCCCAGCAGCCAGTGGCGGCAGCGGCCATAGCGGCCCGGTATTGGCAAGCGATGTCCTGGGAGGGAGGGAAGCAGTGGAAGGCCAGCAGTTGTTGGAGACGGAGGTGCAGGTGGAGGGTACAATCTCGCCGCCCCTGCTGGCGCCATCCCTTGCTGAGGATGCGCCAGCGGATCCACATGTCACGCAATCGTACGGTCATGAGCAGCGTGTGGCTGGCACATCCTCGGCAAAAATGATACCGTGGCATTTTTCTGTTCCCGCACAAAGGACTCTCAGCAAACTTGTACCACTTGTCCAAGTAGAGAGGGGTCTTATAGTTAAGGCTTGGACCTGCACACTGCTGTCAGCAGTGTGCCTTGTCCAGGCTGTCCCTCAAATAGGCCAGCTGTCATCATTATTATCCGAGGGGAACCTGAGGCAGCTGCTGCGGCTTTCTACGGGCCTTCTTGCCATTGTCGCCCTTCGATCGGCTGCCCAGTATTTTCAGGACACGTGGCTGTGGGAGGCGTCCCTTCGTGTCACCCTCTCCCTTCGAGAAAAGACCTTTGCCCACTTGCAGACGCTCGATATGGAGTTCTTCGAAGGCAGGAATACCACTGGGGAGGGTGACTTGGCCTATCGAGTAATTGCGGAGTCCGAGGACGCTGGGGAGATGGTGTATTCCATAGTCCAGGTGTGTTCATGTTCCTTTTTTGTTTTTGGGCTTGAAAACTTAAGCTACCAGAGTGGCCGGGGACCACTTGCCCGGCCTGGCCAAAAAAAAAGAGAAACAATTATTTTTTAATTTTAATCAAACAACCCTACTAAGGCTTATCGGCCGCGGCACTGAGTCATCGGCAATGGTCCACGTTAGTGTTTTTGCATCGCGAAGCGTGAGACGTCCGATGTAAAATTCTGACGCGCGATCGGTTGCGTCGCGAAGCTTGAGACGTCCGATTTAAAATTCTGACGCGCCTGACGCGGTGCACCTGATGCATCTGACGCGTTTGGCGTTTGTTTTTTTCTTGGGTGAGTCCGGTTTCATTTTGTTTTTGTGTTCTCTTTTATGCTTTGGGCCTCGCTGCACTACTCTTGAAATATGGACAGATACACGGTCATGATTTTTGTTTTTTGTGAATGCCGAGAGTAGTGCAGCGAGGCCCTTTGTCGTTGGCTGTTGGTGGGTGCTTGGGGCCGGTCGGTGGGTGCTTGCGGTCGGTGGGTGCTTGCGGCCGGTCGGTGGTGCTTGGGGCCGGTCGGTGGGTGCTTGGGGCCGGTCGGT